ACACACACACACACACACACACACACACACACACACACACGTACAGGACGATCGTTCTGCTGCCTCTGTAGGACAGATCAAAAGCGACCAGGGGAGCACGTAAGTCTGTACCCACGAGCGTTGAGGACGTAGGTGGGGGGTGGGTTTGTGTGGCTAGCGCCTGATGGTTGAGCATGATTTCGCCAGCTTGCAGCAGTGCTGCCTCTTAAAAATAGTAACGGAGCTAGACAGCGATAATAGGGGGGGCGAGGGGGAATAGGGGTTCGGGACTGTTTGTCAAGTGGGGGGGCGGGGGGGCGGGAGAGGCGGGGGGGGGGGGGTTGGGTTCGGGGATGGGGGTGCTATGTGTTTTTGGGGGTGGCGGAGCAGGTGTAGGTGGCAGGCCCTTTCGACCTCCAGCGGGGTCCTCCGGAGCGTAGACATGCAATGTTGGTGATGCGAAGGATGACCTCCAGCGGGAGGGGAAAAATGGTCTGTACACGGTCGACGAAGGGGCAGGGTGTTGTGGACGACGAGGTGTATTCGTGGTGTACCTAGAGACCGCGCACAGTACAAAAGGAGAGTCTGGGAACCATTCCGTACGACAGTCCTTCCATTGTCACGGCTCCAAAGGTACCGTGCGTGCACTGCGCTGTCGTCGTACGCCTGCACATCCCCTTCGACGCTTCGCGCATCCACGTCATCCGCTTTCGGTATCTGCTGGACCTTTCTAGTCGCCGTCGTTCTCACGCCTCCGCGGGCAGTGCCCCATCATACACGTCATCCACGTCCTTCCTTTCCGACGACCTTCGAACGTCGACATCCACGTGCCCTTCGTCCACGTCCGCTTCGCACCGTTATGGTTTTCATCGGCCACGTGGCTGGGGGACGGAAGTTGTATCGACATGGCACCGCAGGGGGTGTTGGGGAAGGGCAGGAGAGATAGCAGACCTGGCGAGGGGGGGAAAGGCCACAAAGGTCGTGGCCATGTGCCCAAGTCGAAAAGGCAGCGGGTTGATGACGCCAACTCGGAAAACGATGACGACTTCCAGTCAGAGGAAGTGGCGGTGGTGGATGCGCAAGGGACGACCGGGGTGAAGCGATTGGGTTTTGGGCGGGATGGGGTGTCGAGGGAACAGCCGGCCGCTCTCAAACAAACCGCCGTTGGTGGTGCCGCCGTAGTGTCGCCAAGGACCCCCAAGGCGCCAGGGATTGTCATCACCGAGGCGCGCATGCAAAGGCAAGTTGCGGGGGGCCGGGGCAGGCGAGGCGATGGTGAGCGGCGGTCGCGTGACAATCTCCCCGGTCATTGGGGGCGGTCCCCTTGATAAGGAAGTGGTCGGGCAGGGGCAGCCACGTCAGGCACTCCCCCCGCAACAGGCGGGGCTTCAGGGGCGACGAGAATACCGTTCGCGCAAAAGGGTGAGGCGACGGTGCCCGACAGTCGGACGGCGGCGGGAGATCATCATACCACTGGAAGCGGAGTCGCGGAAGGTGCGGAAGAGGGGAGGGTCGATGACGTGTCCCGTCACGATGGGAGAAGAGGTGGAAGGCGGGAGGGCGATGATGAGGACGACCATCCACTTATCAGCAGGTGGAAGCGAACGCCAGAGGAGGACGCTCTCGAGGAGAGGTCGAAGTTGTGGGTTGATTGCAACGCTTTTTGGGGTCAAGGCCCCAGGAAACCCTTGAGGGAGGCAGTAGGTGACTGCGAGGACTAATTCGTCGCCATCGCCAACGGAGACGCAGGAGCTGAACCGCCTTCCATGCTCATAATGCCGCCCAATGATGTGTTGCGCTTCAAGATCGAGGACCCTGCGCAGCGTGAACCGGCTCTGTGTTTTTGGCTTCGCTCGTGCAGAGTCCTACATCACCGTCGACTACGCTACCAACGTCGCACGAGCTATTTGGCAAGGCTTAGAATGGTTGAAAGTGGTTTCCCCAACCCTCATCTACTACACAGTGCAGATGAAGATGGACATGCCTCTGTGGTTCGTGGGGGTGAAGATTGTAAACATGCCCGAAGACAACGACATGGCGGCGCGGCATGAGGCGACAGTTCTTCGCCTGGCGGAGTGTTGGACAGATGCAGTTTGGTGTGGACAATGGGCAGATGGCGACCGTTTGAATTAGGACAGGTTGTCGAGGCTTGCAGATTGTCTTCGGGTGTTGTTGAGCGCGTGCATGTGGATCATGCGCATGGGTGGTGACGATGATCGTTCGCACTACGAGGCGTCATTCTACGCGTCCATGATCGCCAAACCCACACTTATAGCGGCGGGGTCCTACATCTTCAAATGGTGGTAACACATCGTCGACACCGCCAACCTCGTGTTGGATCATCTTGGGAAGCCCCACATTACGGTGGGAGAGTACGTGCATTGCATCCCTGAATGAGCTGATTGCGGGTTGGTATTCGGTTACAACGCGGCCCTGAAAAATGGAGCGGAAGCCGCAAAACACGATTGGATCGGCAGCGGCCCCACGGCGGATGAAGATGGAGATGACGACAATTGAGACGTGGGTTCATCCAGAAGGCAGCGGCGGGGTACGCATCATGCATGGAGTGGCGCACTTCACATCAAGCGAAGAAATGTGCGGCGTGAAGACCAG